GGGGAGAAGGAGGAGAGGGAGGGGGGGAGAAGAAGGGGGAGAGGGAGAGGAGTTGTCTCTGGCCGAGTGAGTTTTTCGTCATTATGATGCATTCTTGTGTGGATGAGCGTGACCTTTGCGCACTGATGTTGAGCAATCAGACACCATTATGCATTTGGGGGTTCATAAGTGTGATCTTGGAACATCACACTTTATGGTTTGAACCAGGTGCATTGTTTAATGCTTTTCTGTGTTCAAAACCATTTAATTTACGTAATAAATTACAATTGCTTAATCCTATAAATCTTGTCATTTATCATTTATTATTTGTTTTCCGTATCTACAGGCTATATCAATGCATTCTTGGGATCCAGTTCTGACCTTCAAGAACCCAAATTATAAATTCTTTTCGTACTTTGATGACAGCGATAACATTCAATAAACACTTTTGAAAGTCGTCCTTTGTATGTTGATCTATGCCATTCGTAGGAGCATATGCAGCGGAAATAGAAAAGGCTCTTAAATTTTACATGATAAATGTCCCACAAACATAGGCCTAGTTCTTAGTGCACTTTTTGTACTTATTATTCATTGAGATGGATACAACCACTTTTGTTCTTATGCATTTTCTGGACACCTCTGTTGAGTGCATATAGCCGTTCCTTCATATTATTCATACTCTGGCCATTTTTCTTGGGCTCTATCTAGTGCTAGGCTCTATCTAGTGCAAAATCGGTTGGATGAATAGTAGTACTTCGACACGTTTCATTGTAATGTCTTGAATCTACCAAGATCCATTAAATCATGCTTCTATTCCGCGTTTAGTCTTCCCGAAGCATGGTTATACTTCCGAGGCGTAGCTTTTGCGTAATTTTGCGTAAAGGTACGGGCGACGAAGTATGTGCTTGTTTTAGCACCACTTGTTTATAGTAATGCCACTCTCCTTTTTGTGCGATGTAATTACAAGAGCTTAGCTAGTAGTCGTTCGAGATGTAACCAAATGTTGTGTACAAAATATTTCCGCCCCGATGGCGACTTCCAACTCTTCAGTCCAGTGGACATCGGGTTTGGAAGTCGTACTCAGTGCAGAAACTAACTCCCGTGGTGCATAGGCAATAGCTATAATAAGATCTAATACGGTAAGCCTCATGTTTTCTCTGGGAGTCCCTCATATTTGGACTTGCTGAAGAACGTACAGATTCTCTGTAACAAACACATCACTGAACTAGTAAAACATAACATATATTTAGACTTGCTGAAGAGTGTGCATTTACACAGTAACGAACGCAACAATAACCTAGTAAAACATAAAATGCGAAGATAAGTCAATAAGTGTATGCAATTTCGCTCTAATGGACCTCAGGTTGGCTCAACGACTTTGTAAGCTCACCAGCCACTAGATTGGACCGTTGTCTTTGCCTGTGCGACGTTTCAGCTTTATGTGATTAGCCAACCTTGCGAAGTTTTTACCTAAATATGACTGCGGTTTTATCTGTTTGCACTAAAGAAGAATATGGATCCGTAATTGGTTTTTTGTTGTCTGAAGGTGTACCAGGAGCGGAAATTCGTAGATAATTTTCAGCACAATACGGGGGAGTGTTTTACCACAGCGAAACTTTTACCAGTTGCTAGAACAGTTCAAACGTGGTCGAATCGTAAGGATGAGGAAACAACGGGGAGTGCAGCTACAGCCCCAACAACTCGTATACCAATAATGAATAAGAGCGTGCATTAATCCTCAATAACAGCGACTGTTGATGATGTGGCAAACCATTGACACAGTAGATATGGCTCCGCTTATTAAATAAAGCATAGCAAGCGTAACTTTCACAAAGACTTTGCGAAATGGGTTCCAAAACAACTCAATGAAGAGCACAGTCGCGTGAGAATCGTCTATTGAAGCATTCAACATAGTCTCTTTATTTCCCCGTCGGAATACAATCTTTTTGGTTCACATAAAAATGCTTTAAGAGGCCGTCGGTTCAGTTCCAAATCACAGGTGAAGGAAAAGGTGCATACCTAGATTTCTGCACCCCCAAAAACATTTGTTTTCGGAAGGTATTGGAAAGCCTGTGCAACGGTGAACCAAGTGCATTGAGAAGCACGGAAAACTAGGTTAAAAATGATATCAACACAAAATGTGTAGTCTTGCTGAAATAAACGACAAAAAAAATTGATTGCAGAGACTTATTAACTTACCCTCATATATTTGGACTTGCTAAAAAGTGAACATTTTCAATACACTATGTTCAACACAGTTTTCCAGATAAATGAAATTGGAAAATATGTATTATAAGTCCTTTGTTCTCTTTGCAGGAACCCCACTCCAGCTTTGGATGAAGAAATAACTCATAAGTGGGAACAGTTTTCAGAGGCCGAACCCAACTATCTAAGCATTAACGACGAACTTTCAGCTGGCAAAGGGCTATTCAAAGAACGCATCGCGTTTTGGGATGACCTCTATAAAGCTGAGGGAACTCAAAAATCGTATTTAGCTAGTCCGAGTGACTCGTAGGAAAAAAATACTAATTTACCTTCTAGGCAATACACATGATTAATGTATTTTAAGTTAAGTGAGTATTGTGAATGAATTTTTCTTTCCTATTTCCTTTTTGACGAGTCCACTTACAATTGCACAAATAATTTGTAATACGTTGTATATTTTATGTGTAACATATGATGTGTACTTATAGTATATGAATAAGAAATAATAATGTATTTTTGTATTTACTATCGACATGAACCTAAATAAATACACAACTCAGGGTATTTGATTAATTTAAATACAGCATTATTTCAAGATCATACAACCCAGAAGTTGATCGTATTTTTCCTGAACTTTTTTTGACCTGTTCATTTTTGAACCAGAATTTTTTTTTCGCGAATTTTACTTCATATGTTCTAGTTGGTTTTTCCTTGGATATTTACTTTCTGTAAGATATAAATATCACTCTTGTGGGTTGATAACACCGGTTACGGAAAGTGCATTATTTGATTTAAATGACATCGAAAAGTTGCGCGACATCACAAACACATAATTAATATCAACTTGATGACGGTATGAGAATAAATATGTTTTATTTCATCAATTATTATAATTATTGTGAACTGATAACAAAGGTTTTGAAAATGTTTGGTTAAATTGGTTGAGGTTTAAACACATTGGCATATTATTGTACCACTAGGCGTGACCACTACCTTTTCACTAAATATACCATACACTACTGTGATGGTGGAAGCGAAGGTGGAGACAGAGGTGAAGGTATGGGCGGGAGGGAGGGGTGATGGCGAGGAGAGAATCAGGAGCGGTGAAAAAACAGATGCGAGGGAGGGAATGAGGACGAGAATTGATGAACGAGAGCGGAGGAGGGACGGCAGTGTGGGTAAGGTCGAGGATGAGAGCGGAACAGAAGCAAGATTTGTGTGGTGAGAAGGGAGGTGCGAGAAGGGGAGATAAGGGCATTGTCGAGGACGAAGGGGTGGTCAGGAGTGAAGGTAGAGGGAGGTTAGGGAGCTGATGAGGAGGAACGGTTGAGGTAACGGACGAAAAGGGACATTCACAAAGTATTCTATACCGGCTTACGTGGCTCAGAGCATCAAATGATGTCACTGCAGTGCCTCTAACCGGGAGGTCCCAGGGATCGAGTCCCGACGGTGGCCAATTTTTCACACTCGCCACTAGCCAGATCTTATTCAGCTGCTGTCCGGAAGAGAATTCTAGCGGCTGGTTGCTCTGATCGGTGATTTTCCGTGGTTTCTCCGATCGACGCCTGGCGAATGTCGGATCAGTAAAGGAACAAACAGGCCATGGTCTCTGCTCGATCTTTCCTCTTCCTAGGCCTATCCTCACCCATTACTTACACACTCTTATACTACACTATCACACTTGTTGGGTGACAGTTTCAGAGAAGAGCTTGTCCCGGTTGAGGTAACGCCGCGCAAAGATGCCAGGCCCTGGGAGATGGTTGGTTGCGAACTTGTTGAGGAAAACCCCGCAAGCTGATGGGTTGGTCGGCTCCGGATTTCACTAGCCAGCGAGGGAATAATACCGCCATCTCCCAGTTCAGTTTCATCAGTTGAGGCGCCTCAATTCACTAATCAATCATTAATAAAACAAAACCTTTTATCCATTTGTGTTATATTAGAGCTTTATTATGGGCGTTTCATCAACTTATAGTGTAAGAGTCTAGCGGTACATTTAAGTAGTATGCAATCACTTTTGTCGGTCGCGGTAATGGTATTGTCACGGTTTTGTCGCGGTAATGGGTTTGTAGTAATGTCGTAATTGTCGTTTGTATCGTGAAGCTGTGGTATCTTCACGAAGGCTGTGATGAACATTTTGAGGTTTAAGTAATTCTGACGGTTGAGGTAAACCTTACATTCAGGTACTTCTCAAAGTTTTCTGATAACGTAGATGAAGTTTTCTGTAGATTTATCAATAGAGTAGGTAGTTAAGATTTCTGAAGAACAAGGATATCCTAGAATATGAGGTATGCTTTCAAATCAGTTTTTGGTGCTATTAGTGGGTTTGGTAGAGTATTATGAACCCTCTAGGAATGTAGGAACTTGAGGAGAATGTAATGCCTATTTGAAGGTGTTTAGAGATGTCATATTATTTGTATTTCGGATGTAGTATGGTTATTTAGAGTTGGGAGAAGTGAATGATTATGTTGAGGATATAGTGGGGGATGTCAAGTTGAAAATGAGTTGTTTCTGGTGGGTGTTAATGTGAATTTTGTGGATTTAGTTTTGGGAAGATTTTAGTCTCAGCCCATCATTGTGCCGCATGATGTTGCTTCGCTACTGAGGTCGCAAGCTATGATGAAGGGGTATGCAAATGGAGTAAGATGCGAAGGTCGGAGTTAGGTATTGGGATCTTGGGTTTCTTATAGCAGGTTATGATGAGAATTGGGTGAGGGTAGCATTCGTACCAATACGTATTGCAGTAGATTATAGGGCTGTTGTTGGGGAAAGTTTATGTGGGATGTGTGGGTGTAAAGTCGGGTCGGGATAGTCGTGTCGCCTCCTGTGTGGAAGTAGTTCTATCGAAAATTATGGTATTGTACTTTGAAGTAGAGAAGGATATGCTGTAATAAAACGATCCCGATGTAGTAGTCTCTTAGGATTTCTTTTTTATACCACCTCCCGCTTTCCATGAGGAAAAGATTAGGATGTGAGGTGGGAGCTATTTCGTTTCAGGATTTTAATAAGCTTGGTAGCAGCTGTTACGAATTTTGTGATTGTCTGGGACTTTTAGAATGTCAAGGAGTGGTTTTTGGTGGGGAAAGAGCTGGGGTTTGGGAGAAAGGTGACAGTTCATTAAGGTATTGTGCTGTAGATTACGGAGGTTGTGATTGCGAAATGGATTGGGACGGGGCAGTAGCAAAGGCATAGGAGGAGAGTTAAGGTCTTAACCCTCGTACCATATCTGAATTCTGTTTGGACCCCATCATCATTAATTGGTTAATATTTTCCTGAATATTCGTAGAATAATTACAGTCTTCTAGATATACCTTCGTAAACGTATTAAGTAGATATCAATCCATTTTCACACATTTTCCAAGTTCTATTAAAGAGTTTTTAATTTTTTTCATTACATGAGACCGGTTTGATATAACATATACGTAAAATAACACCTGTTATTTTCCCATTCTCATTTGAAATACCTGGTCATGAACTTCAAACAAAAAAATGTCAGATAAATTCAGTACTTACTTTATCTCAAAATAACTTACACAAACTCTTATAAATATTTCTACAGCATTATATATCAAAAATGGGTGTTACGTACGGTAAAGATTATTCCGTATTTGAAATATTTAATGTGAAAAAAATATGTTATTGAAAAGAACGTAAAAATGTATCGTCACATAAAATCAATTATTTATACTCAGTACGCCGTACAGGTTCGTGTTTATCACATATAATTGTCAGTAAAGCTTGGGTTCCAAAAAGACCTTAGGTATAGTACTCAATAGTAAATATCAGATATGGTACGAAGGTGTTTTGGTTGGTTGTGTGGTTCTTCTTCAGTTGCTGCCTAAGGTTTTGGCTTGGACTATGGTGGAGTGTACTAATGGATGCAATTTAATTGGAGTCCAGAATATACTACAAATCAGTGTTGAATATTTTTTTCGTAATCTAACGGATTGACTGAAACTATTATTGATGAATAAACATTTCCATTTATTTTAATAATTTAGAGATAATAACTTTTTAATTTATTCATTTTTGTAAAAAATGTTAATATATAAATGTTTTAGTTTAAAATTGAATAAAATGAAATATTTCACCAGACATTGAAATTGTTTAAAAATAAATATCAGCGGAACGTAAATTCAACTATGACCACGCCTATATGTAACCTAGTATTCTGGTTCTATGGGACGATGCATTGTTATCGGTACGAACTGAAACTGAATTGTACTAGGTACGCAATAAAATTTGTTAATCATGTATTTCTTCATGTTTAATTATATTATTGGAAATGCATACAAATCACAGGTGTCCTTCGCGATACGACACGGAATGTATCTTTTTCTCAAAAATTCAAATATAAGATTTGTACTCTTTTTCTAACTTGACTACCTGGTACTCTAGTTCCCCAGAATATTTGGAGGATGTGCTTATTCAAATTTGTGACGACAGAATTTTTAAATACCTACAGTCGGCGAATACATTTCTAGGGGAGGGCGACTATGTGTGATTGCAGGGAGAAAATAAATAATTGTGAGATAAGGTTTTTGGAAATTCAGACTTATACTGTATGCACTTGGATGCTTAAACACATATGTAAAAGTGTTTCTTATTGATTGTAGCAGACTTCTGGTATGTATCGGCTCCCAGTAAAGTGTATGGGGTGCGTGAACTACTCAAAACTGCTTCTGCACAGTTATCTGATGTATATAATTTTAATTGTTTAAAATATATGCATAATTCAAATTGCAAAAAAAAAGAACAAATGATCGTATCAAAAGAAATTTGATGTTTTGCTAGCTCACTAGTGTTTATTTAAATAATTGTTCCGTACTTTTTGCCTGTATTTTGGAATGATATGATAATATGATATTGAGATAATATATGTTTACTCGTCAGTTGGCTACAAGGGCAACTGCGAGTTTAGCATGCAGGCACAACTCAATACATATTGGGCTTTCAGAAATGAGCAAGCTGTACTAAGCATTTTATGCGTAGGAGAATTTATAGCTAAGACTTCGGTAAGCCATCTCTTGGGGCTTGTATTCATGAATCTTCGTGCGCCTGACGTAGCACAGCGTAGTAGGAGTACGATGCACGCAGCAACTGCAACACGATTTATACACACTTAATGCGCATTACAACTACTACTACTAATATTATTATTATTATTACATTTAACGTTCCAACATAACCACAGAACCTTGCACACGGTCAAAATAGTCCTGTTGGGTTTATTTATACACATCTGATATTGTTGAATCCCTGAAACAGGGCGCAACCAACATTCTCGGTTAAACGGAGTGTGTTGTGAAAAGAAAAGTATCTTGTTCTGTGATGATAGTGATCGTGGATAGCTTTACACAAATATCAATATTATTGTTAGTTCCACCATCTTAATATAAAAACATAGTTTTAGAAGAAGTGCACGTTTACGTGGTTAAAACCATAATTCTTGAGAAGTTGAATATTATCTGTTATAAAAAAATTAAAATGTTATGTGTATTGGAAAAAAGTTTTCCAACTCTCGTCTCGTGACGAGTCAGATGAAGCTTTTTTTAAAAAAAAAATGAAAATCATCTAAACTTATGAATGCCGCAAATGCATTGGACAGCGACAGTGATGAATAAACGTGCATAGTTGATCCTCGCAATAATCAAGCAAAAATAAAATTACTGCAACTAAAACATATTGCCAAAAGAAATTCCTCTCTACCATATAGCACAGCCATAATAATATTCAAATCATATTAAGACACCTTTTATATGCGTGCCCCATCTGAATTAATGCTGCAAAAACTAACATTAAAAAACTACAAATCTTCCAAAACTAGTTCCTGAGGATAATAATCAACGCCCTTTGGTGTGTCTCCAATAACCAACTCCACCAAGAATTATCCACAGCCTTTCATATCAATTACCTTCCCGTCAACTTCTATTTCTTCATACCACAAATTCGCACATTTAATTCACTTGGCTGCAGCAACACAACCAACCCGAATCAAAAACAAATTTCCTTCCCATGCGTTCGTAAAAAAATTCGCAGAAATTGAGCATTAACAGAGGTGCCTAATTTGGTTTCCTCATCCATGAAATAGATTAAGCTTCGTTTGGATGTTAGTAATAAGCAACCAAGGCATGTGAATAGTATAACGTTTTACATATCCATGTACTTATCAACAAGAAAATAAGCAGAAGAGAAGCTGGTTCTGGTAGGCTATACTCACCCCATTGTATGAAGTGATAATAAAGAAACGCAGCGAGTTAATTCTTCTTCTGCTGTTCGAAGAAAAGTCACGTAAATAATAGACTTTATGACTGAACGTAATTTTGATACCTCTCGCGTTATTGTACTCACAAAAATTATTTGAATCAGAAATTATTTGACGGAACATATTAATTACAAATATTAGATAACTAATGACAGACCAAGTTTTTAAAAAAATAATGCAAACTCTAGTGAATTAATTTTAGAAGTTTTATTAGAAAAAATCGTCGAATTCGGATACCCTGTCACTTTCTTATTCTGCAACATACAAAGCTCCGTACCGAAACGAAACAAAATAAAATTTGACGCCGGAAGTTTTCATTGCCCAGTGTGACTTTTTAGAAAATGATTATTTCATACTGGAAGTGGTAATTCAGAAACCTCTGTGAATTAATAACTTAGCTATTATCCGCGCACGTTTTCGAGCTCTCATTTTACAACATGGAAAGGAGTGGGAGGTGATTATTTTGGTCGTCAACACTATTATGTGTAATCTATAGCTTGTTTTTCAATGCAATAATGGAAATTACACAGAAGCAAAATTTCTGCGTATCAGATTATGTCAACATCGCTTTGTGCTATAATTTATTCTGAATTCAAGTAATGTGAGTAAAGGAGTGAGGGGTAGGGCTTCCAGGCCTCAAAAAAAAGTACGTGCTTTTAATACTATGCATCCTTATGTTCTATACTTCATAGAAAACCACAAAATTAAACCTCAAGCAATAATTACTTTTCTAAATGCCTGAAACACGAATTCAAATCCCCGTTGTCAATGTAAAATCTTTTCTCCCCTACGTCACATACAGTTTTTACTAATTTTTTGACTAAATAAATCTAAATCTAAATCAGAATGCGTTTCACGCAAGTTTGCAACAGTGTTAAGTGTCAATTTCTTGCATGAGATCTATACATAGTATTACAGAAAATAATTGAAAGAAATGAGAATTTACGATTCCACAAAGATGACTTCAGTGTGAATGCTGAATGACATGGCTTCAGTTCGCAAAGTCTTGTGGAAACATACCTTACGACGGAGTGGAAGGAACAACTAAAATATTATCAATGTAAGCTGACCTATCAGGAACCTATCAGGAACATATTAATTTATCCAGGAAGATATTTGAGTGGGCTGATGATAATGTGAAGGACTCTACATTAATATTAGCAACGCTGAATATAACTTAGAACGACAGCTATTATAACAGTGACATGGCTATGAAACATTAGTAGTATGTACACAAATAATACGGTTTCATTTCTTTATGAGTTAATTTAAACGCCGCGAGAATTTTCCTAAAACTTCGAAAATTAATATCGCATAGAAACAAAATGTTTCAAAACAAAATAAAAAGGTGTGTTTCATATTTTTGTTCATATTCTTCATTGAAAAATTTTTAAAAATCTAAGACATCAAGGTATAAGTTGACCCACCTCACCGATGGTAACCAATGTCAAAAACTCGGTTCGCCAATGCAATGATCAAAACTATTTCTTTCGAACGGAACGAAGTTTCAAATTATTTTGCAAAAACATCGCTTTCTTTGAGGTGTGAGTAATTTCTCAAAAATAAATTTTTACACATAATATTTGCAAACAAACATGGAATGTGATTTGAATACAACTGATTTCTTCTACTTTTCAAAATTAGGGAATACTTAGCGGTCCAAATTCATGGGACATATTTCACATTTTGTCTTGTTATATTTTTTCCTAGAACGTCTGTTTGTGTTTGTTCTGAATACAAATGTGCTATTTTAAATATCAAATCTCTAAACAAGCATGTTAGTACTGATCACAGTAAGGATCAAGGCCGGACTGCTGCAAACTTCCGTCTGCAATTCTTTTTCTTATCGATTCCGGGAAGTGTCAGGAAGATTTTTTTCCTCGTGAAAGTTGACCATGTCAACTTGGATTGAGTCACGGAAAATTGAGGTTATCGCAAGGGCTCCGTGAGCCTTGCGTGGGTGGGACCTGCTTGGCAACGCGGGTGTGATGTGGGAGGGCAGGTAGGAATGGTAAAAAAAATCGATGTTTTTCAAATATCAATATCTTCTACTAGAACATCGATATATAAAAATCGATGTTTTGTCTTTGATGACTTTTTTAGATCGAAGTATATTTCAGAAACATGAATGTTTAAAAAAATTGTTACATTTTTCGACGATTTTGCACATGGTAATATCGTTAAACTGCATTTTGAACTTTATCTGAATTAAATATTTACTAGAAAATGAAGGTGACAGAGTGCTTTAAGGCAGAATATACACTAAACTAATATTTACGTATTTTGCATACTAGAAATAACGGATGATTTACTTCCATGATTTATGAATGAAAGTGAATAAATGAAATAACAGCAAAACACGATCACCTTTAGTTTTTTAATCTTTACATTCGATAAACATTATTACCACATTACTTATGTGACCAAGCAGTAAAATATATTGGTATTTCATTTAAGTACTTTAATTAAAAATGGAAACAGGATGAAAAAGTGCCGTATACTATCATATTTAAAACATCGAAGTTTTTCGTCGATTTTCTCATCGTCACTGAAAATATTTTGGTGAGGTATCGAAATTTCGATGTTTTGATAAAATTTGCCATTACTACCCGGGAGAGCTTTGCAAAACCAGAGACACCGCGAGACAAAATAAATTTCTGAGAACTGACAACTTCCAAACATGAGACGAGTAATGAATTTTGAGGTATATGATTAGAACGAGGAAGGAAATGTCACTAAAAATCACAATATTCTGGGCAAATCTGTACATGAAATAATAAAGTCTGCATTCTAAATTCCTCCACGCGACTCCTCCCGGGATTGGGTGGTCGCAGTACAGCGTGTCTGGAAGCAAGGTGAAATATTGATAATGCTCATCTATGCTGTTCTTTGAAAATAAAAATAAACATCCTGGGAGCTTTTCAATCCTAGTTCTAACCAAAAAATTTCGGAAAAAGCTCAGAACTTTGAGAACTATGGGGACAACCCTTATTATTATTATTATTATTATTATTATTATTAATAATAATAATAATAATAATAATAATAATAATAATAATAATAATAATTAAGCCTAGACAGCAGTATTCCTCCGTCGTCCTTACCGCTGCGAATAGCTCCATGGAGAGGGTGGCGAAGCCGAGCGCAGAGATCCGCGTGGGTTGATGCGCGCGCAACAGGACGACGCGCAGAGACGACTTGAAGGAGGGCGCGCAGTCTGGCCACCCGCACGCAAACGCCGCGTCGCGGACCGCGTCACTCTGCCACATGAACGGAATCACTAGGCGATGGATTTTAATAAAGGGGCATTTTTTGTCTTTTCAGTTTTCAACAAAGCCTTTTAGAATGGACATTAATTTTATGTTATTACAAAAGCAAATGGCCTCTTTTCATGACATTCTTTTTGCATTTTTCGTCGATTTTGACTAATAAGAATTGTTTAGGAGTTTTCTCTCATTTTTAAAACGGATTTCATTGATTTTTATATCATTTTAATGAAATTTACTTGAAATAGTATTTTCGAAATGCAATAAATGTTCTCCAAAGAATTCCTCAGTAGACTATTCAATTCCTTCGCTCAGAAATTGTAATGTCAACCGTTGTGATTATGTAATTCAACGTTTTTGACACACCTATTAGAGCTGTTGTCGGTGCGGCCGATTTCAGGATAATTAAAGTCAGAGATTTCCTGGTAAAGAACAGTCCAAACGAAAATTTTGCATGCTGAGTTCTGTCGAACGGAAGGAATAATTCTGAATTACGTCGGTGACATATCCAACAGCTTAAGTTGTCCGTCTGAACTGGTTTTATTATAAAAAAATACGTCGATTTTGTTTGCTATTAGGGCATTTTAAAAACATTTACTAGGCATTTTATTGATAATTTTTGACGATGTTTAAGGTTATGAAAATTCGCCCCTTAGTAATCACAGTAAAAAAGACAAAGGGCCGGCGAGCCTCCTCCTTCGCAGGCAAGGCCGGAGGAAGGGGGCATGGAAGCAATGTGGTACATCAATAATTCGAAAACGTGTTCCGTGGAAGATAAAACAATCTATTCTGGAGAAGGAAGTGAAAGGAGAAGGCCGTTGTTCCCCGACAAAAGTAACATATCGCAAGCCCTGCTCTACTAATCCACATTGATTCCACCTACCTACCTCAGAAAGAAGAGCTTCTCCCACAGAACAGTACATGGCCAATTCCGCCATCACGAAGAATAAGAAGCCCACTAAAGACGCCGTTTTGAAGTGACTCGTTGGCACCTATCAAGAGATCAGTCAAAGTAAATATGTCACTTGCAATTCTCTAGTTTTTTTTAATCACACGTCAGTGATTTACAAGATAACCTAAAAAAGCAATATTAATCAATTTCTATAAATATTTATCTATTCTGATTTACATAGAGGCAAGGACATTGCTTAACAACGTGATAATATGTGCAAAGACTGAACCATTAAGTAGAAACTTTTGTGTTAATTCATCAATGCATTAGTTCCCTTGCGCTTTCCCAGATTGTGTCAATAAATGTCTTCTACGATAATTTCATCAAAGCTCAGAATTACTTATCTCTACAAGAGGACTTTTTGTTTATTTTACATTGAACTACTCAATTGAAAGTTCATATAATGATTATTTTGGTTTTTCTTTTCTCTATTTACAAAAATAACTTGAATACTAAATTTAATTGCATCTAGTCGTGAATGTACAAGAGGTATGAAATTATTAGAAAAAAGTAATTTTCAAGCTCATAGTTGTGTTGGTATTGTCAACAGGTATCAATGTACATGTGTGTTCTGTATCGGACAGTTATTGGTTTAGAACTGAAAATTAAGCATGATTATGATGTTTTTATGGATTACACCATAGAATGTGTAACATATGAATGATTTTATAGGTTGATGGTTAAACTGTGACAAATTGGACGAGTTTTTGTGGGGAAGTGTTCTATGATTCTGGAGAGTGAAAATGTATCTTTGGGTGGTGAAGGAATGATTATTAATTAATGTATGTTAGTATGTTTGGCAAGAGAGAGTACAATTGAGGTAAAATAGTGCTAGGAAACTTGTATTCATAAGAATTGGACATGTGTCAACGCTCAAGCAAAAAGATTGATTTAAATAATAGAAAAAAACATTTGACAAACCAGGATCTACTGTGATTTTTGGAGATACTATAATTATCTAAAAGGTTATTGGCACCTTTACGTCAATCGTTATTTTTCAAGGACCCTAAATACGTACTCGAACACAGTGAAAAGGTCTGAAGGGGTAACTAAGCGTCAATTATCTCGGAGAGGCGTTAAAGATCAGGCTTCTTTATGAATAAATGAGAAGAAAATAAATATGAAAAGAGAACGTTATTCAATGTGGCGATTCATTGAAAGAATTGATATATAAATGATATAAAACTCCACAAAAATAATATAGGTGAGTAAAAGTATTATATATTTTTAATTTATATTTGTTTATTCTTGTTAGTAATATTAATAATAATAGTATTATTTGGGGGCGAGGTCCTCTAATAAGAAAAAAATGTAAACATCGTTTAGCGAGGAAGAGAGTGAGAGCCGTGTATTTCCAGGTGGGAGCAAAGAAAGGCAGAGCGCAAGGGGGGGGGGTGAAGAAATGCCTGGCGGGAATCTATTGAACTAGGCCCGCCGCAGGGCGGTAATAAATGGAATTTCTCTTCCTGTATAATAAATTATAGTCATACGTTCCCGGGCAACGCGGTACTTCGACGCAGAAGAAATCGCAAATAACGCTTATGTAGGTCTTCAGCGTTTCAAAATTAATGATTAAATGAACTTTAAATTAAGGAATTTTCTCTATCAAATTTTCATACTTTTATGTACGTACTACCCTTATAAATAATTCAATATTTCATAACAGTAAATATTTAAAAAATAAAATACATGTACCTTATTTATCATATTTATCATATTTTTTATTATATAAGCGAAAATAATCACCTCCCAAGCAAAACGTAACAACATATTGCAAATTTACATTTTGGTACGTGACTCACCGACGTTAGCAAAAAGGCTATGCCACAAAACATGACGAGAACACCAATGCATTGTGCCAGTATGACAGGACCAATAATTTCTTGCAGTGAATTTACATAACTGAAACAAGAAGTCAATAATCAAATTATCCCAGGTAGAAGGTAAAAGAGAAATGATAACATTCATTCAAGGCAACTTTCTCTTCAACCGAGGCCCTACATATAATTTATCGAACTGACATTACAGCAAGCATTTACAGTAGAATATTTCGTAGGTCAAAAATTTGGACCGTCGCGGTGATCCTGGGTAGAATATATGGAGAAAAAAATTAGTATATACTCTATGGATGTAGTATATATTTTTTTAAACGCATCGATATAACATGATAATTGTATTATAATTATTGTTTTTAAAAGCAAATTAAACTGACCAGCGAGAATAGTTTATAATATAAGTGAACAAAAAGAACTAGATGCTATATATGGGATCCGGAGAGGTTGCTCAGGGCATCAACTGTTGTCACTGCAGTACCTCTGACCGGGTGGTCCTAGGTTTGAGTTCCGACAGTGGCAGAATTTTCGACACAAGCTTGATAGCTACGCATGTCGAATTCAGTCGCTGTCTGGAGGAAAACTCTAGCGGCCGGCTGACCTGATCGGTAGTTTTCCGTGGTTTCTCCGATCAACACCAGGTGAATGCTGAAGCAATAGTCTATAACAAACGAGTCACAGACCGCGCGCGATCTTTCCTTCCTCTTCCTTGTGTCACGAAATG